GTTAAATGTCTCTCACTGTTCGTGGGCACAGTGGGGGTGTTAAATGTCTCGCTGGTCGTGGGCACAGTGGGGGGGGGGGTTAAATGTCTCGCTGGTCATGGACACAGTGGGGGGGTTAAATGTCTCGCTGGTCGTGGGCACAGTGGGGGGGTTAAATGTTGCTGTGAGACGTTTCGTCACACGGCAACAAAAGTGGCTTGGTTTTTTTTAGGAATGCTTTTCTTGTTTAAAGCTCCAAGTCCTCTGTGTAAATCTGAAAACCATTAGAAGACCATAAGAGCTGCCAAAGTCAGTTTCATGAAACTGGGCTCTGGTCTCACCAGTTCTTCATTAGCCTGTCAGGCTGAAACAACCAGTCAGTAACCCACTGATGACTTCATGGGCACGGCAGCCCTGTGCACACCATTTTAGGATGTCAGTGCACATATATTAAAAAAAAAAGTGCATGTGGAAACAAAACGAGCCAAATAGACCCGTGTGTCTTTGGTCAAACACGGGAATGTTTGACTCTGTAGCATGTTATAACGTGCACGTGTGTGATTTATTGAGAAGACACACAATCAGCTGAGCGGCCTCATCCATCAGTCACCCAGTAGAAACTGAGCAATCCTCTTGAGCCAACCTTTGCTCTTTGATGCTGCCCAGGGGGCCGTCAAGCCATTAACCAAACCCCCACCCGGGTGAGTGCTCCTACTTCCTGGGGAGAAGCGCTGCAAGTCTCTGCTTCTTAATAGGAAGAAAGTGGATCTCCTGAGAGCTGACCTTCTTTAGTTTGATTGCTCTGTTTTTAGAAACCTTTTTATGATTATTGTTGGGGTCCTGCTGCCCCCGAGACGATGACGGCATCCCATAGAGCTGCTGCAGAGAAGCCCCCTGGCTTCCATCCCGCTTGATGGAGAAGTTCTTGGTGGAGACTCCGGAGAGACCTTTAATCTTCCCACAAAGGATGGCAGGGATGGCATCTTTCACAGAGACAATGACCTTGGCCGTCTGAGAGGTGCTGACAAACTCGAGGTTTGCGGTTGCGCTCTGCTGACTCAGAGAGCTGGATCCTGCCACGCTGGTGTCGACCAGCCACTTGTGCTGCCGACTGAACTCCAGTGAAGTTAGACTGCCCAGGAGTTTGGAGTCTAAACTCTGCGCGCACTCAACACCGAGAGACAGTGCAGCGCTGTTCGAATCTTGACATGACTCTAAGCCAACTTGCTTCCTCACACTAGGCACCGACAAGTCCAGCGCACTGTCCTGCTGTGGATAGGGATATTCCTGTTTTACTTCCATTGGACAGGCCCTGACAGAAAGGTCCAGAATCTGTCCCTCCTCTGGAGACGTAAGGGACGGGGACACATCTTGGGACTGGAAGGGAAGCATGCGTTTCCTTGGAGAGGTAGTATCTTTCAGTGACGTCTGAGTGCTTTTACTCACAGTGCAAACTGGTTTTGGAACGCTCCCCTTGGAGTCCTCAGTCTGAAGTACGGGGATAGGGATAGGGAGGGGGACAGGTAGAGGTACTGGGAGGGGGATGACAACAGGGTAGGGGACCAGAAGTGTAGCAGGAGGGACCAGAGGAGCCAGAGGGGAGGTATAGGGAGGAACGAGGGGAGGAAGGGGGAAGAAGGCAGAGCCCTGGGATTGACATGTTGAAGATCCAGCCTGTGGAGGAAAAAGGTCCTGCAAGATGGCTGCAAAAGCTGGATTCTGCAGCAGAGACAGCAGGGTGGCTTCCTGCGACTGTCCTGCTGCCTTTGGGTCGACAGCTGTAGGTAAACCAAACGACAAAGGGTTCGAACACAGGCTGTTGTTCTGGAGGGGCAACTGTGGGCAGGTCGTGGTCTGAGGGATGACAGAGGGACTCAGGTGCTGGATGACCTGCTGGTCCAGAACTAGGGGAAGTGAAACGGGGCTTTGGCTCGTTATCAAGTACGGCGCTGCTCCTAATTGGCCGAGCTGAGGACCAGCTGCTCCGGCCATCTGGAGATGGAGTGGCAGCATTAGGGGACTCTCTCCCAGACACACTGGGTGGAGGACAGTCGTTGCTACTTTAAGAGCCACTCCTCCTGGAGGCTCAGTGGTGGGACTCACCAGAGATGGTGCAGGATGGTCCTCATGGTTAGAGAGCCCAACTTTGTTCAGTCCTGTCCTGCTGCTAGTAAACAGGTCAGCAGTCTGTGGGTTGTCACCATCTTCCACCTTCCTCAGGACTTCTCCTTCGCCCTCCTCAGAGCTGCACACGTTGTTGTGCGTTTTAATATCATCACTGTCCTCCATGATTCAGTTAATGAAGACCATCCAGAGTTTATTTTGACATCTCATCCATTGTTCTTCTGGTATCTGAAACACAAAACGCACAATGTTTGAGAACAAGTGGAAAATCTCAGACCACAGTGTTGTTGAGATCTTTGGCATTTGTCCTTGAAAAGACAACATTTAGTCTATGTTGTCTCTACTGCAGCTCAGTAACAAAGTTACTGACACTGCAGGTCTCTGTGGTCCTGTGGTGGACTTGTGACTTGTCCAGGGGGTACCCCACCTCAAGCATTCAGCAACAAGCCAGTAGTGTGTTGTTCTGGGGCTTAAAGTGCAGTTTGTCCATTATTAGAACCACATTAAGGAACGTCTAAAACTATGATGAAGCTCTCGACCTTGACCTCTCTAAGTGGCTTTAAGAATCTGTTGGACTCCTGGCAGGGACCAATGCAGACATGTTCCTGTTTTTAGTTTTCTACATTCGCCTTAGAATCTAGCCGTTTTTGTTACTTTTCTTTTTTTAGCCTTCATATTTGTTAAAAAAAAAAAAAAATCTGTATGCCTTTTTATAACTGTCTATTGTCATCATTCTTCGTTTAAATCAGGTCTCTTTTGTAAATGAGTCCTCGAGGCTCAATGGGATTTACCTGTTTAAATAAAGGTTGAATGAAAAAAAAATGATGATGAAGAATTCAAATAGTTTGAAGATCAGTGTTTTCTCTTTATTTCACTTAATGTAGGTGTTGGGTGAGAGAGTATTCCAAAATTCCCCCCAAAAAGTATTACACAAGCAGGAAACCACTTCAGTAATCAATAATCAGATTTATTTTACAGAACCACATGTATGTAATGTTATCTTTGTAGACTTAAACAGCTTCAGTTAGCAGAGGAGACCTTCTTATGAGCCACTGTCACTTCTGTACACATTCACTGAAAGTTGTGCACGGATCCAAGTAAGAAATAAAAACTACAAGTGTCCCATGAGATGAGTGCGTGAGCGTTTCAAACCTGCAGCACTCCATAAAGTCTGAGGAGGACACACAACTCTCAACTGGGAATGTTCAAGTTCTGCTTTCTTTAATCAAAACCAGTTTGATCCAGTCTAAAGACTCCAAGTGAGATTTTTTTAGTTGTTTCGTGGAAAAGCTGTGAACAACCCAGAGCTTATCTTGTAGTTTTTAAACGACCTCAGATTGAAGAAATCATTTAATCCTGAGCAGATTGGTGAGCTGACGGTCAAACCTGTTGTCTTAAAACAACCGTGTCCTAAAGCACACGTTGACTCCTACCTGTACGATGCTGTCGGCTGCACGTTACATGAGCACTACAGTTAAAGACAAATGGCAGCAGCAGCTAGCTGTAGCACTTGTGATGCAGAGTGGGGTCACAAGTCAAGGTAAGAAGTGACCCTGTCCATCTGTCCGTCAGTCTGCTGCGTGTGCTTCACTACGACTCCTTCACGCCACATGGCCCTCCCTCCTCCTCCCGCTCTGGAGAGCACCCCCCCCCCCCCACAACAATAAAACATCCCTTGGGCTCCTGAAGAGATAATGCATCCAATATCAGCAAAGTCAATTATTCATGCAGCCTGAGAAAAGAGAAAGGGTGGGTGATAGTGGTGGGGGTGGGCTGAGGGGTGGGGGTGGGGTGCTTTATCTTGTTTGCAGCATCAAATCATGTGGCATCTTAAAATTTAAAAAAAGTGCAACAAACACTATTTCGTGAATTTTTTCCTTGTGATGAGCGTTCATCACGGCCAACAAAGTCCATGCTCAATAATCCAGGCAGTTCATCACGGCGTCGAGCTTCGTCAGTGAAGAGAGGACATCTCTTCCCCCACACCCCCAGGCTAGCTTGTATGTTTTTCTGTAGTTGTAATAATGTGGCTGTGGTGGGTTCCAGCATGACTGCTGCAGGCGAGCAGCAGGTCATCTTGTTCTGGAGTCATGAAGCAGAACACATTACAGATTATCTCAGACTTTATAATGAAAGCCTTCCCGGCATTGATTCTTCACAGCTCTCGTGTTTATTCCACAACGCAGCCTGGACGAGACGTGTCCTTCAGTTCCATGAAGGATGAGCACCTGGCCACGACAGGGGACGTGCGCCACAGCTTCATCCTCACTAAGTGTGTTAGTCGTGAGCTGACAGGCCAGGCAGGCCAGAAGGACAAACTGTTGACTCAAGCCAGCACAAGAAGCTGCAACAAGTTTTGTTCCTTGATTCGTGTCTCACTGTTCACAGAGAACACACATGATTGAAGACACTTCTTTTTCACCACTATTTGGGTGCTGTGGTCTTTCTTGCATTCCAGGAAATTGGAGGCAAGCCATTTCCTGCGTGATAACGTGGTCATGAGGTCTGTGACACGACACGATATGAAAGAAGTCATTCTTGGTTCAGACTTCCTGCTGTTGCAAAAGCCCTGGAACGATCCAAGTCAGAGGACAGGGCCATCATGTGCTGCCATGAAAGGCAGGTGATCCTGTCACTGCTGCTGTCTGCATGTGTTACTTTGTCTATAGCAAATTATCTCCGGAACCAAAAGACAGAGTTGAATGAAACACTAAGAAGTAATCATTAGATGTATTTCTACAACTCATTAACTTCTGTAGTCAATCTAAGCCAAGATGGCCACCACAACTAATCAGTATGAGCCAACACAACTCAGTCAGTTTGACAGTGACAGAGATAAAATTAGGTGTGGTACCTGCGTGACAAAAACATTTGCAATAATTCTGAGCCTAAACCCTGTCTGTCTGCAAAATCTTTCATAAACCACTGGATGGACTTTAATGAAAGCCTCAAAAGTAACCTCTGGATGAACACCTGGAACTCACTAACTTTTAGAACCAAGAAGGTTCAAAATAGCCAGCACAGTAAACTGACCTCATCAGACACAGTAATGGCTGCAAGTCCATCATGTTCACAGATATTTGGCTGAAAATTTGTTCTGGTAGTAGAAGGGGTGGGCAATGTGGCTAAAATATAATATTGTTTTATTTCAGAGCATTCTGATGATAACGATACATTTTGTGATATAACAAAAAAAACAAAACAACAGAAATCGGTTATTCATTTGACAAAATTAACACGATGCTCTGCAGTATTATATAAAAACTAAACAAAACAAAAAAAACAAGGTGTGATTTTACTGAAATTACTTTATTTAGTAAAGTATTCAGTCTCAAAGTATAAAAAAATGATCCTTCTGTTATTTAGATTGAAAAAGTCTGCACAAAATATAGATCAACTAAATCCACCACAAAAACTAAAGTGCAGGTGCAGTTTCCCAAAATAACTAAATAAAATGAAGCTTAAGATCTGTTGATCACAAATGTAACATACAATAAAATATTTGTTTCCTTTAAATGAGCTGTAACTTCCAGAACTTGTAACAAGGTGATCATCTGACCCTGAAGCTGGTGGAGTTTCAGCGTCCTCTGTTCCTGCAGGAATGATTCTCTGATGCTCCGTCTCTGACTCTGTTCTTGCTCCATGGACCTCGAGAGACTCAGCTGAGCTGCGTGTGTTTGTACCAGCAGTTTAGAGCGGGGGGAGGGGGGCTCAACGTGAGGGAAGCGGCAGTGTGAGCAATGCTTTTAGCTTTTTAGCTAGCTAGTATTTCACGTGGCTAGCTTAGCATTACGCCAGTACCGACAGGTGGTGGGGGGTGCGCAGTTCGGTTCAGTAGTTTGGCACGCTCGGTTTGGTTAACGGGGCAAGGCGCCTCGCTTGTATAATGGTAGGGGGAAACACTGACGTATTTACGCCATGAAATTAGCATGTCATGATATAATTTATTTTCCCGGGCAAGTTTTTTTTACCGGTATTATCGTGAACAATAGGATATGGCCCAGCCCTAGGTAATGGCTCAGTGTCTTCTCTAACAAATATCCTGAGTACTTGTACTCTGAGATCTTTGTTTAAACCAGAGGTGGGCAACACTTGTTTCCAAAGGGCCACATCAAAACGTTCAAAAGCAATCAAAGCGCCGCATAAAGAATCAGAAAATAAAAGTTCTTTATGACAGATAATCCATCTGGAAGACATTTTTGTAGGCTTTTTCTTATTGTAGCATAGTTAGCATGCTTTATTAAACATCCATCCATCCATCATCTTTTACCCGCTTCTTCCATTTTGGTTCACGGGGGTCGCCAGTGCCCATGTCCAGCTAGCACTGTGCGAGGGGCGGGGTACACCCTGGACGGGTCTCCAGTCCATCACAGGGACACATAGAGACAAACGAGACAAACAACCATTCACTCTCTCACTCACACCTAGGGACAATTTAGAGTTACCAATCAGCCTAACATGCATGTTTTTGGTCTGTGGGAGGAAACCGGAGTACCTGGAGAAAACTCATGCATGCACGGAGAGAACATGCAAACTCCATCCAGAAAGGTCCTCGGACCGGGATTTGAACCAGGGACCTGCTCGCTGAGAGGCAGCAGCTCTACCAGCTGCGCCACCGTGCTGCCGTTTATAAAATGTATTTCACATATCTTTTAGGAATATAAGACATATTCTACAAACTGGGTCTTTAAAAATGTTATCCCCATTAGCTTAACATCAAAGTTCTTGCTCAATTATCCTCAATGGCTCAATGGGATTTACCTGTATAAATAAAGGTTGATTGAATTATCCAAGTATAAAATCCAGTGTTCAGTCAGGTCATCTGGACGGTTTCTTTTTTGTGCCGAGACATTTCATCCATTATCCAACGGACTTCTTCAATCTGAGGAACCTCCAAACAAAACTGATTTTCCACAAACAGCATACTCCAGAGGGAACACAACAGTTTGCTGGTGCTAAGATGGCCTCTGGGGCTCGCCCTCTCCCTTGTCATCTCCTCTGACCAGCAAACTGTTTTCTTTTTCATTTTGGAGTACCAGTATGCTGTCGGTAGAGAATCAGTTTTGTTTGTTGGTTCCTTAGATTGAAGAAGTCCGTTGGATGATGGACAAAATGTCTCAGCACAAAAAAGAAACCGTCCAGATGACCTGACTGAATATTGTTGGGTTAGCTTAACTTTATACACATTAGTGGAAATATTAAAAACAAACATGTGTCTGTGTTTCTAA